ACATACATTTCATGTATGGAAAAATCGAATGTGTTTATCTCGTGCGAATGGATAATGTATATGTGTGTGTGTGTGTGTGTGTGTGTGTGTGTGTGTTAATGTATTTACATTTGACGTGATCGATCAAGAAAAATCGTAAGGAAATTAAAAAGAAAAATTTTGTATAGGTAAAACTCTATACTTTTATGTAAAAAAGTATCAAATTTTTTAAAAATACTTTTTGTCAAGCTGTAGAATGTATGTAATTTTTAGTATCATACGAGGGCAAATCAATAAGTACCTGTGTTAATAATGAAGCTTTTCACAAAAATTTTTTTTTATTTTTCAACGTAATCCCCTTTTAGGAGAATACACTTTTCCCAACGCTTCTGCCATTTTTTTAACCCTTCAGAAAAATACGATTTGTCGAAACTCTTCAAAATAGGCCTCTGTTTCGGCGATGACCTCCTCATTCGACGTGAATTTCTTTTCACCGAGCCATTTTTTCTAGTTTGGAAATAAAAAGAAGTCACAGGGGGCTAAATCCGGAGAGTACGGTGGATGCGGCAGCAATTCATAGCGCAATTCAATCATGCTTGAAATTAATAACCGCATCCGCTTGTTGTCCACTGTGAGCAATCGCGGCATCGGACCGACAGCTTTTTCATTCCCAAGTTATCATGCAAAATATCGAATGCCATTCTGGACGACACGCCTACGGTCTCTGCTACTTCATGCACTTTCGTTCGACGATCAGCGAGAATCATGTCGTAGACTTTTTCAACGATTTCCTCAGTAACCACGTCTGCCGGGTGGCCTGGACGCCCTTCATCAAAAACAGACGACCACGTTTGAAATCGTTGAACCAATATCTGACGGTTGTCATAGATGAAGAGTTCTCATAGACGCCATCCAACTTCATTTTTATTTTTTCGCACGTTTTTCCATCCAAAAATAAGAAACGAATCACGGATCGATATTGCTCTTTTTCCATTGTATCGGAAAACATCAAACACGCTCACTACGAATTGCTGTCAAATCAAGATTGTATGAATTACTCAAATTTTGTATGGCATCGTTTGAAAGATGGTAATGTCAAGTTGCATCAGCAGCATCGCCTGTCTTGAATCTTGAAACGCGGGTACTTATTGATTTGCCCTCGTATATAATAATGTGATCTTTGTTAAGATATGAAACCATAAACATAAAAATTTTTTGAAAAACAACTAAAAGCATGTTATTGTACAAGTTTCAAGCTTTAAAACGTTTTTTTATTTTTATCTGCGATGACTTTTCACCAAGTTTTAATGATCTGATATTTGTGCAATTCTGTTTTGAAAGTGTTCTCTGTTGAATATTTTACGTTACATATTACTTGTGTAACATCAAAGCTATTAAACAATTCTTAAGAATGTCTGTAATAATATATTCGAGACTGCATTACAAATATAAATATTATAAAATAATATTTTAATAGAAGTATGTTTCAGCAAAATAATACTTTACAATCTGATAGATCCGATATCGAATGTTTTTTTTTATTTATTAAATAACTATAACTATAACTATGTGTATCTGAAAATGTGATCAATGATACATAATACAAAACGAAATGAATTATATGTTCGCAGCCATAATAAAATGTTAAATTATAATAATTATATATAGAAATAAATATGATTTAATTTTCTCTTCGAAACAAGAAAATAGTTTTCGGTATACATTTTATTTATTCTATCGATTGCAAAATATTAGATCTACTTTCTGTGGCTGAACTACTGTACACTTTTGGAACCAAGAGTGAGATAGATACGTTTGATATTTGGCGAAAACAAAAATTAAAGAAAGTTTTAGTGCAATGTGTAGTACAGGAATAAAAAAAGGATTTGTTATTGAATAGTATTTAAATATAACTTACATTCATTTTTTATTTTCTCGCTTCTAATGTCACAATTTCAAAGCGGAGCATTAAATGTAAGAATGGAGAATTTTGCATTAACATAATTGAAAGAGAGAGAGAAAGAGAGAGAGAGAGAGAGAGAGAGAGAGAGAGAGAGAGAGACAAAGAGTCGATTAATTTAATTAATATTAAACAAAAATGATATTTCGTGCTGGAATAATTCAACATGCTGGAATAATTAAACACACTATTTAAGAATAATTCTTTGATACTATGAAAAATGTCAACTTTTAAAAAAACATACATTTTTTTCCCTAAAATCAGAACTACAAGTGTCTAGAGGATTCTTTTCAAATATGGATAACAAGTTTGTTTTAGTTTTCCAAATGCTTTTAAACCTTTTTTCATGCAATTTGAATAATAAATTGTAATTATATTTTATACTTTTCTTACAAAATGCTTAGAATATTCCTTATATCGATATGATCGAAAAATATTTTTTACTCTTAAATGCAATCAAAACTATGCATACTTATTAGAGAAAACAATATAAATGTTTCATATTTATTTATTTAAAAACTTCGGTACATAAAATTTACTATAGTTTTTATTTGAATTGATTTTTGTACTAACATAATACCTCAACTTTATTTGCTTGGACAGTATCTTATTCAAGAGATAGAAAAATTTCGAAATTAATTATTATAGTAGTAGAATATACAAGAGGATAGAAAATAGTGTACAATACGGAATGGCAGTCTTATTAGGAATCAAGTACTGCTATTATCTCAAGTTATGGAATTGACTTCACTGCAGTCATATCGAATATGCATATAATCATGAGATATACGAAAAATAAATAAATTTTTATACATTTATAGTTACAATGACAGAGACCTAACAATTTTAAAGAAGTCAAGTTGCTAAAATAATTATCAACTTATTCTAATTATATTGTACAGTTCAGTGCTTATTGTTACGGCATTTTACGTTATGTGAACGGAGATACGCGGAGATCGGCAAGCGGCAGTCGAGTTACCACTGTCGTGACGTTATACAATATACGCAAAGGGTTGAGTCCATATCCGTGTGCGATTGTGTTTCGGCCAGTAAGGCTTGTAGAAGAGGACTAATTCTGACTCTCTCGCATTATGCTTCCCGTTGTCTCTTTCACTCTCGGCGCATCGAAGGCGACTAATTGTAAGACAGCCCGTTCTTCTCGCTCTCTATTTATTCATTCTCGTTCCTTTTTATTCAAGCATGATGCGCTTAATTAAATGAATATATTTGGAGACACTAGTAGTGTCTCTGCGTTAAGTTACGCGCAGCGATACTGCCGTGGCTACTTTATGCGAGTCAGCGAGTTGCGCCAGATCGAGATTATCGAATCTCAATAAGGGCTGAACCGATCAAGTTCTAAGTGTGCTCAATCGATTGCAACCGCTTGGGATATATAATGAAAATGTTTTTATTTTTTCTCTACGTGCTCCACGAACGGAAATATTGCAACGCAAAATACGAATCTGAAACTTTTATTAAGAAAAAATTAAGAAACATCGTCGTCGTCGTCGTCATCGCCGCTACGGAGTGGAGGTAATGTCCTTTTGGAATTTTTGGCGCAAGAGGCAAATATAGCGCTAGCAATGCATTGTTACATCACACATGGTCAGCGAGCGTTACAAGTGTTGCAACGATTCTGCACATTTTACACATTCTACACTCTGCAGAGATTAGAAGTTGAAGTTATTGTTACAGTCATGCAATCGCGGAGGAGTTGAATAAGTGCGATTGTAGCTAAAGCTATATTATATATAATATTGAGTTCCGATTATCTCAAATATTGATAAAAATACTTTTAGTCGGTGTATTTTTGCGCAATTAAATGTTATCCAAATAATATCGACATTGTTGTTGAGAAACTGTGATCACATTTGTACGGCACTCTTAATTGGGTTTAATAACTAATGAAAATACATCTAATCGATGCCTGATTTTTGTATAAAAATAAGTAAAACTTTGACAAAAAAAAGTGCCACTCTGCCTCATGAACCGTGATTAGTTTGATTGATGATTATTATTCAGGTTAAGAAGTTGGTCACACCGACGAAATATTGTGATGCAAGTATACATTAGAGACACTGCAGTAAAATTTTCATTCCTCTGCTTTATTTAGATCTACTGGAACAGCGGCTAGCATTAATTCCGTATCCGCAAGTTCCGCTCAATAAGACACAGGAAAATGAATTCCTGCGGATTGGAAATCATATATACATACAGAGACATTGCCGACTGTGCTTTATGTACTTATTTTAATTTTGATTTGCATTTTCGCCTTTCTGTATACTATATATACGACATTCATATTCTGATCATATTGATCTCTGTATTTATCTGGAGACTTAATTAAATACCTTTAGGATAATGTTCAGATTCCCATTCGAGTGCTACTCAGGTATCACTTTATTCTTGTTATTTACCGAATGTTAAACAAGGATGACATAATATCCGGAAAATATCCAAATGGGAATCCGAGCATACCTCAGCACGTTGATTAAGGTCCTGTGCATAATAGAAGGAATAAGGAATTAGGAACAAAGAATAAATAATTTCAACTATCAGAAATGTACTCCGATGTATCCAATTTCTGATAGGTTGAAATTGTTTATTCTTTATTCCTAATTTCTTATTCCTTCTATTATGCACAGGGCTTAACTATGCGCTTGTAGGAGATAGTTTTCTTCGTTTAAACCAACTTAATGAGGTGAGTTTTTATGAGTTTATGTTGTATATGTACAGCTGGTCACAGAAACGTTGTAGCACTTTTTCTTTGATGGATTTCGAAACGCAGCTTACTCTCCGTGATTGGTTCTTACTTATGGATCTATAAATAAGAACCAATCATTCGGTGAGCAAATTGCATTCCAAAACCCATTAAAAAAAAAGTGTTGTGACCAACTGTATACGCAAGCATCGGCGAAATCTACAAAAGAAATGAAGTCGCAGCATAGACTTTTGCATAACTCATAACGCATAGTGCAGGATTAAATAAGGATGACATAACACTCGGAGAGCATCCATGTGGATCCGAACATGCCACAGCATGTTGCTTAATCATGCGCTTGTAGACAATTTTCTCCATTAAACTTAACGAGGTTAATTTTTATAAGTATACATATGTAGTATATGTACATGCACATATACAGGCATCGACGGAATCCGTAAAAGAATAAATTTGCGCAAATAAAAAACGGCGGAATCGGCGGAATAAAGCCACGACTAATCACGAGCGTCCCGCCAATTCTGCACTATGGGCTTCCGCTTTCCGTTTTTCCGTCAAGGTGTGAACCCGGCCTGAGGATGCGATTACATAGCCGCGGTACGCGGTACAATAACTAATAGTAACTAACTAGGCAACTAGGAAATCGCGTAATTAGTATATAGGCAGCCATGGCCGTCAAAACATCCCCACCACTCCATCTTCGGCCCCGGGAGCGTAACCTCTTTGGGAAATGGCGTGCTCTGATTGCAGCGTCGTCATATCCAGCGATACGTCGTGGAGTTTTGGCGAAATCGTAAGAGGAATCTTGAGTCCAAGGGCGGCAAGCTGTAGTTTTCGAAATATGTTCCTATACCGTGTTCGTCAATGTAGAAGACGACCCAGTGCCAGGTCGATCGTGATAGCTGTGTTAGCGACAATGGCAGTTGACTTCGTCCACACCCTTGGCAATCGGTCGGCAGGTTAGACTCCTGCATGTCGAATACTGAGATGATGTAATGCATTTAAAACTTCCAATGAAATCATTTCTTGTTGTTGAAGTGCGTGAGAGAAAAAATGTTTGCGCAAAGAGAATGCAATTCAGAATTTATCTCTTTTGCTGGCATATGCGTTATAGAGTTCTCAAAATTTGACGTTTGCGAAACACTAGTGTTAGTTTTATCTCGATCCGTCGAATTTTGGAAGATCTTTTTTTCCTCGTCTGACGCGTGTTCACCCTCGCTTTGATCCGACTTTTCTGTCATGATATTTTTCCTTCACATTTCAATGTTGCGAATGATATCGTGGATTTGATTTTTAAATTGAATTGAAAAATTTCCGCTGTCTGTTTTTTCGCTCTCGATATCGCTCTCGCTCCAATTTTCTGAGGGAAAGCTATTGTAGCTCGAATTGCTGCTGTTTCGTATAGTTAGCCATCGTTTCAATTTGTAAGCGTTGCTTAAGGCGCTATGTGACTTAACGTTGATTCGAAATCTGTGATGCGTACAGCGCTGTCCACGTTCTACGAAATCTGATAAATTTTTTAAAAGCCTGAGAAATTCCTTCCAGATTATATACGTTTCTGGAGAGTAGATTACTCAGATAGCATACCTTCTCTTGTCCTCTGCTATATAGATGTAGCATCCGTGGCGTGTAATGTTTCGCAGTTGTATCGTAAAATATTTAGAATTGAAGTTTCCATTCGATTCCGTGATAATTTCGTGTAAGCCAGTTGTTTTCTCGTCTTACTCTCTCGGGTAAATCGCCAAATGGATAAGGTAACATCATAATCCAGTGTCTGGTAAACACTGCATTAATCACAAGAACCGCGACTTGTTTCGGAATAAAGTTCTCTTCGACATCGCGAAAACCTTGTATGTTGATAACTATATCCATTATGATATTCGAATTTTCGCTTTTTTTACGTCACGAAACGTCTACGTCGGTGTCATATGTAAGACTGAAGCTTTTTCGTCATCTTGCGGGCAATTAGATGAGAAAAAAATGTGTAGTGGAGGAAAATAATTTTCTCGCGAAAGTCATAGGGCTAACCGGAAAAGTCGACAATGATTTGACGCAAACAGTCGATTTCTAAAACGTTATCAAACTCGACATAAATGATATAATTACGAGGACAAATAAGTATTAATAAGTATGTGTTTCAAGACAGGCGATGTTGCTGATGCAAGTTGACATTACCATCGTGTACTACCATCTTTCAAACGACGCCATACAAAATTTTAGAGTGATTCATGCAATACTCTTGATTTGACAGCAATTCGTACTGAGCGTGTTTGATGTTTTCCGATACAATGGAAAAAGAGCAATATCGATCCGTGATTCGTTTCTTATTTTTGGATGGAAAACCGTGCGAAGAAATAAAAACGAAGTTGGATGCCGTCTATGGGAACTCTTCACCATCTATGACAACCGTCATAGATATTGGTTCAACGAATTCAAACATGATCGTTCGTCTGTTTTTGATGAGGAGCGCCCAGGCCGCCTGGCAGACGTGGTTACTGAGGAAATCGTTGAAAAAGTTCACGACATGATTCTCGCTGATCGCCGAATGAAAGTGCATGAAGTAGCAGAGACCGTAGGCGTACAGAACGGTATTCGATATTTTGCATGATAACTTTGGAATGAAAAAACTGTCGGCCCGATGCCGCGATTGCTCACAATGCACCAGTTTACTTCTCCGCAGTCGCCACAGCCAAATTGATCGAATTGCGCTACGAATTGCTGCCGCATCCACCGTACTCTCAGGATTTAGCTCCCTGTAACTTCTTCTTATTTCCAAACTAGAAAAAATGGCCCGATGGAAAAAAATTCACGTCGAGTAAGGAGATCATCGCCGAAACAGAGATCTATTTTACAGAGTTCGACAAATCGTATTTTTCTGAGGGGTTAAAAAAATGGTAGAAGCGTTGGGAAAAGTTTATCCTCCTAAAAGGGAATTACGTTGAAAAATAAAAAAAATTTTTGTGAAAAGTTTGCGTCTTCATTACTAACACGGGCTTATTGATTTGCCTTCGTGATAGTCACAGAAAGAGCTTTTTCGAATATCACTTCTAATCGTAAGCTTCACGAGATTCCTATACAATTAGCGGATAGATCTAGAGTAAGATCGAAAGCGAAAAGAGTGTAGCCGTTAGCGTAATCTCTACTTATAGAATTACCCTTATTCAGAAAGTGAAATGGAAGTGAATGTCGGTTCTCGAGAATAATGTGTGATAAGCTTCAATGTAAAGCGGCTCGTCTTTCGAAAAATTTGGCTGTAACGGGCCTACTGGGAATTTGTATGCCATCGGCATACAGCGAAAAGAAATTTATTCCATAATTTTTGAAATTAAATGAGTTCAATTTTCTATCATCGTTAAACGCTTTATTATCGATAAAGCCGATTATTATTCATTTCAGCAGCTGTCCGAGTATTACATTGTCTATCGATTCCCCCACTACGCAGGCGTGTATCGTGAAAGTTTTAACTTCGACTTGCGTAAGGGGATACTTGGTGGTAGTTTTACTCAGCATTCTAGAGTGCGAGTAACACACTCGGGCTTATTTTTGCTCTTCTTACGAATAAACTGGCATCGAGAATACAGGGTTGGCCATATTCGACGGAAAGATGTTTTTTTTTTCAATCATGGCGATACGACGTTACTCGATCTAACATCTCTGTCAAAAGTTACAGTGTTGCCAGATCTTTCCGTCGAATATGGCCAACCCTGTACATATTTTTAATATCGTTTTATTCTCCATAAGGCAAAATGAATCTTTCGAACGTACGATACCTTCTCATTCTAACTTCCACTCCGTTAATTAAAAATTTATCTTGATTGCAAACGTCGTAGTGAAGGTGCCCTATCTAGCACCCGATTTCCTCGAATATGTTGTCCGCGTCTCTCGAGAGCCATATTTGAATTTGATGCGTCTAACGTGTTGTCCATGTAACCAAAAATATTCGCGTCCCATAAGCAAGAGATTAGATGAGAAGTTTTTGCGGGTGAAGCATAATTTAATAACGCTTCGATGTACGCGCGGTAAGCGTTGTTTGGCGACACGAGTTTTTGATTGAAATATACATCGATTTAGTTGAACAACATTTGGTTGAACTGGAATGCAGTAAATGATTTACGGATCCTACTCTTGCCGTGACGTCGGGTACGGCCAATGTGTTCTCTCCGCGTTCACTTTCTCGACGAAAGCTCAACATGGTAGTGAGATCCAAATAGTCTTCTCCATGTCCGAATATGACGAATTCTATGGACGAGTCGTCCGCGAAGTTACAGGTTTGTAATAAATCCATTGCGAACTCTCAATGCTGATTTGCGTAGGAGGAGAGAGAAGAGATCGAGTTCGCTCTTTATACACTCACTTGAGTGAGTATGAAGAAAGGACATGCTTTTTCTCCAGCCACGAATTCCTATCACAATTAAGAGAATATGTCGGATATCTCGCGTTTCTTGAATTTCCTAGCGGATGGTTTTTTCGTTTTTCTTCCTGCAGCGCAAATTTTCTTTTTCTTCTTCATCACTTTTTTTCCCTATGATACTTCTCGATAAATTTCTTTTGATCGCTTTCTTTAACGTTTTATTATTTTCGACATTTTCTATTATGTTAATTCCCGCACGTAAAACTTCTTTACCGACAGCGCACCTTTATTTAGGTAAGGTAATATTTCTCTAAATAGCTCGCCGAGAAAGCTTCCGATTCCATGTCCGCGCTGGTAGGGCGAGCCGACAAAAACACGTGGAATTCCACCTCGGCTACCGATGTCCCGAGCAAAATACTCCATATTCCATCGCTAGTTCTTAACTAAAGACTATCACTACCAACACGCTAGCGTACACGGAAAAAAGAAAGTTATTACTTGCGTTTAAAGTGCAGCGTCACTGTCAACGTTCCGAATTTGAATGGAATTTTTTTCCGAGATGATCTCTTATATCTATTTCGATCGTTCTAAAATTCATTCGTCGCAATGGGATATAATTTGAAAATGAGAAATGCTTCATCAAATTTGCACCAAATGCGTGATTATGACTGTGTATCTCGACCGGAACTATCCTGAGAAGAGGAGTACGTACATCGCCTGTTATATAAGGCTCACAAATATCGCAATAAACGAACATTTTATCGGGGATACCGCGCCACAAACTACAGAACTTCGCTACTCCAGTAACCGTCTGCAAATCGTTCTCCCATCTCCTTATTAAATCCATGAGTAAGAAAACTTTTTTCTCTTCTGTTTCATTCGAATTAGGCTTATATATCATAAGTTTAGGATAAAATAAGTAATTATCTGAGGAAATTGCTGATGTGAAACCCAGCATTCGTAGAAGATTATCGGAAAAGTTTATATGATGTGCATTTTGCACTTCTCATCACAGTTAATACTTATCAAGATTTTATCGCCAGACGCTTTTTGCTGTTCAAAATAAAAATGCGATTCGGCAACTTTACACGCGGTATTAATCGCGTCAATAAGCTCATAGATATCGTTGTAAATTCCATTTGGAAATGCAACTTCTTTTGTCATAAACGCACCATTCGTCCCCTCGGGTTTAACGTCAACGAATCTGATCACATCGTTATGATGTGCGTGTAAAAAACTATAGGGAAATTGAATCTCGCTTATCGCAACTTCCCATTGTCCTTGCAACACTATAGAATGAGGTAATTCCATTATAAAGGACGATGTTGTATTATCCGGAAAATGTCACATACTACTGTTACTCGGAAGTATCAGAAGAAATTGTTCCTCCTTCATCGTGAAGAGAAATTAAACTCGAAGTCGGAATCCAAATATCAAACTTATTAGGATAACCGTGCCAATTAACAAGCACTTGCTTATGAGAGCAAATCAATAAGTACCCATGTTTCAAGACAGGTGACGTTGCTGATGCAAGTTGATATTACCATCGTATACTACCATTTTTCAAACGACGCCATATAAAATTTCAGAGTGATTCATGCAATAGTCTTGATTTGACAGCAATTCGTAGTGAGCATGTTTGATGTTTTCCGAATGGAAAAAGAGCAATATCGATCCGTGATTCGTTTCTTATTTTTAGATGGAAAAACGTGCGAAGAAATAAAAACGAAGTTGGATGCCGTCTATGGGAACTCTTCACCATCTATGACAACCGTCATAGATATTGGTTCAACGAATTCAAACATGATCGTTCGTCTGTTTTTGATGAGGAGCGCCCAGGCCGCCTGGCAGACGTGGTTACTGAGGAAATCGATACCGTTGAAAAAGTCCACGACATGATTCTCGCTGATCGCCAAACGAAAGTACATGAAGTAGCAAAGGTCGTAGGCGTGTCGTACGGAATGACATTCAATATTTTGCATGACAACTTGGGAATGAAAAAGTTATCGGCCCGATGGGTGCCGCGATTGCTCATAATGCACCGGCTTACTCCTCCGCAGTCGCCACAGCCAAATTGATCGAATTGCGCTACGAATTCCTGCCGCATCCACCGTATTCTCCGGATTTAGCCCCCTGTGACTTCTTCTTGTTTCCAAACTAAAAAAAATGACTCGGTGAAAAGAAATTCACGAATGAGGAGGTCATCGCTGAAACAGAGGCGATGACCTCCTATTTTGCAGAGTTCGACAAATCGTATTTTTCTGAGGGGTTAAAAAAATGGCAGAAGCGTTGGGAAAAGTGTATCCTTCTAAAAGAGGATTACGTTGAAAAATAAAAAAAAATTTTGTGAAAAGCTTACTACCGCAGATTGCATTCTCATGAACGAGTGATGCGTGATTGTAAGCGCGTACAATATTCTGCAGAACATCGATGTAGCGTCGCGTATTTTTATGCGTGAAATAACGCCACATTCGCTCCTTCAGTGTTCTGTTGAAGCGCTCGATGATAGTGGCTTTGACATCTGGATTGCGCGTTACTTAAAAACGAATGTCGTTTTCTTTAAGAAATTTCTGCATTGATTGCGTGACAAATTCTTTGCCCTTGTCCGTTTGTAAGTACAGGGTTGGCCATATTCGACGGAAAGATGTTTTTTTTTTCAATCATGAGAAACGTCGTTACTCGATCTAACATCTCTTTCCCATGATTGAAAAAAAAACATCTTTCCGTCGAATATGGCCAACCCTGTACATGGGTACTCGTCCTTCGCTTTTCGCTAGTACATGTTGGAAAGCTTTTATTACGCAGTTACTCGTTTTATCGCGTAACGCTTCTACCCAGACATACTTACTTAGTACATCGATAATAACTAATACATAGGAATAATCATTGTAATTTTTTAGATTTCGAAGTTCGATTAAATCTGCCTTCCACACATCGTCGATATTTGTAATGCAATCGTGGAAATTTTCTATGCAATGGTCGGTGTAACATGTATGCGTCTTGCGATTCGAACCAGCGCACGACTTTTCCCCGTGGGAAATTTGGTTTAACAGCACGAGTTAGATTATCCACCGCCGAATAGCACCGCATAATGTGACAGATCGTAGTATAATTTTTCAAACGTCATCGTTATCTTAGTTTTTTCCAATCGAGTAACTGATTTTTTTCCAATTGTAAAGATGCAGGGGTATCAGTTTTTGTACATGAAAGAATCAATGAGCTTTCCTCGTCTATCTTTTATTCGTAATTTTTACGTTTTTCTCTTTCCTCACGCTCTCAATACAATCGGCGCGGAACTCATTCTTTCGTTATAAAAGGCATGGAACTAGTCCGAGGTCGAAGTTTAACGCTGCTTACACTAACACCATGCGTGGACAATAATCTTTTATTTCTCACCAGCGCGAAGGTATGTTCAACGCACGGAGTAAAAGCGCAAACTGATTTCTACCCACTACTTTCACAGTTTTTCTCTCGCGCATCGCGACGTTTATCAAGTCACTGATATTCGAATCTTTCATGATATTACCTTCTATAGTCATGATTCCATGCTCGTCCCAACTAATTCTATCAGGCACAGCTTTTCGAAACAAATGTTTCATCAATAAGTGTGCATGTTTACGATAAGATTTCGGTATGCTTTCTACTTTCTTCAATGCTTTTCATCGCATGATTATTCCTTGCATGATTGTGCTCGCTCGAAATTTCGAAATTTTTCGTAATAATACCGGTGTTATTGATGGAATGTGCCGGCGGTATATCAGACGTTTGCGTGAGATCGTGAAAAACGTCATCGTTCATCGTCTCGTTATCAGCAAAGACATCTTACGTAGCATTGTCTTCTGCATTTTCGTTTTCGTTGCGTGCGTCTTACTGTTTTCTTCGCGTTTCTTGGATAAATCGCAGTTATCGCCAACCCTCTCTGTACATTTTCCATCTCTTACTTTCGTCGCGTGCCCAGTCAGAATTAAGAATACGGTTCATCGAGTCGTAGTATTAGATGAGTTCCGAGAGTTTGCGTTGTGTTATTAGTGCTCGCTGTGTTATCCGAATTTTGCGGTACTGTGATTTTTTTTGACTCGCCACCAGCGAATAATGTCAGATTCTATCGTAGCTGATGTCGCATTCTCTCGAGATTTTCCGTCGAAATTAAAACCATTTTTTTTTACCCTTTCCATAACATTTTATCTCTGCTATTTCGTTCCTTCGATAATTAGTGATAATAAGATCGATAATATAAGTTCGATAATATAAGATAAAAATCCGCCTCGCTCCAACAGCTTTTTTTTATCCTTTCAATTACCACGTTTTGCAACGATGCGACGCAAAGCCGTTTTGTATTTGGTTAACCGATTTTTTTCATAACGTTTAAGCGAGACGTTACCTTTAAGTGTATTAAAAACAAATTCGCAAATACAACGAATTAGTTTTTCGTCGGTGCCACGTAAGAAGGTTGTGCATTGATTTTTATTCAAATGATAGAGCGCTGCAAGGAGACAGGCGTTTCTCTTACCAATCGAATGTGAGGCGATTTTCGTCGCACAGCACGATTTCTCGTCATTCATCTTCATCGCGTCTACAACTGACACGACTACCCGTACTCTCCTTTTATACGTATCCGTTGGAAAATGATCTACGTGGCACGTAGACGTAATGAGTCGTATCCTCGGGAAAAATACACGAAATCGAGTTCGAAATCGATACTCGTCCGGGGTTGATTGTTTCAGATCGAGCAGCAAGTAGCCGTGAAGCCTTGACGTAGCGTCGTAGTATGCCTCTTCTAGGAATTTCGGATCGTCGGGATAGACTTGACGTGCTAAATGACGAATTTGAGCGCGATCACGTGGATTTTTGAAAACGACGATGTAATTCGCGTTGAGTGATATATTGCGTTGACTACGCCCCTGATGGAAGAGATTCTGCGATATAAGAATAATAACACTGAGATTCTTGATGACTGCCTTTGATGAAAAGATCCACGATCGCGACGATTCTCTCATAAGATCGTCGATTATCACTAATTTCGGAGAAAGCGGATCGTTCGAGTAATCTTCCGACGGGGTAAATCTTCGCAAAATTCAATTATATTTTTCTTCGACACTTTATGAGTATTGCCGTATCCCCAACTCTGTTCTTCGAGCTCTTTTTCATGAGTGTCGTATCATAATTGACGATAGGCTTCTTGCTATTTCGCGTAATAGAACAAAATTCTTTCAAAATTCTCTCAATACGTCGGACATGAGAGATAAATATCGGAGAAAAGATTTTACAAAAATCGTTTTCCCGCATCCGGTCGGACCGTATATGATCGATGTCCATGAATGTTTTCAACGTACGCCCATTTTGCGAAATGAACTACTCTATTACCGTATAAGACTTCAAAAGCAAATAAATGGAAAAATGGCGCTTAATATTTTCAAGAATGTACAAAGGAAAAAAATTTAAGGAGAGGGGATAAGCTAGGGATCAACGCGGCGGAGGTCCCCCACGCGGCCGGACACACGCTCGCGTCAGCGTAGCTGCCCGGCGTAGGCTAGCTGACGAAAGCATCGCGGCCTTCCGAGCTGATTCTCACCGCGGTGCGACGCGTATAAGCTTATCCGTGACGAAATCAGCGTACAATTTCTTCGAGACGTGGCATCGCCGCTAAGCTTATACGCATGAAAAGCTTATAATGGATGAGGGAAAAAGGTGTAAAAAAATTTTCTTGTGATTTAAATATAAAACATTTTATTTTTTATATTTGATGTTTATTTTTTACATGAAGTGTGAAAAAGTGGAAAATGAGTTTTTGTATTTATTCAATTTTTTCAAGTATAATTTCATATCGTGAAAATATTTTATATTATTTACATTATTCACAAAATTAAAATACAATAAAATTTCTAAGTATTTAAAGATTTAACGATAATATTTATATTTTATTTTACAAAATAATGCATCACAATTTTACATTTTAATGACTTAAATGTATATCTAATCGATGGAAAACTCGATGACGTTTCTATATTAAAATGAGAGAGAGAGAGAAAGTTTAAGTGAGAAGAGGGTTATTCATTTATGAAGCCGTAAGGAAAAGAATAACAATTATTGATAAATCAACGTTTTATAGGCGCACATGACTTTATCTCAATTTCATGAAATGCAACGCGTCGAATTGCAGTAAAACGCAAATTTATTGTCGACTCCTCCGTTTCTTCTCTTGCTTCTTGCTTTTTTCTCTACTATTAATTTTCTATCATTAATTTCTTAAATCTATTATTAATATTATTAAAGTTTAAAATTAACGAATTTTTATAATTAAGTGTTATATCCTTTATTTTATAGATTTCATGCATACGTCCTTCTGGTGTACGAACGATATACGCGTAAAATTTTGGGCCACCCAAAATGAATGATTCGATATAATTTGATCGGGAAAATAATATCATGCATTAGATATCGGATCGATGTATATTTGATTCACCTTTATATTAAATAGATGGGGAAAGATGTCTTTGCCCAGTGTATCCTTCAGTCCGAAAGCTTTGGGCAAATCAGATAATCGCATCAGCAAATAATTTACGCTATCTATAAATTTAGTGTTCCCGACTGATATCACGATAATTTTCGTCCTGTTTAAAATTACCCGCGGTTATTCTGTAATTTCCGAGTTTTCGACTAAATATTTCGACTAAATGAATTGCGCGTCGAACGCTTTATGTGTTATACAAATGAACTTTTTGAAACATTTTGTTGTTCGCGTCACGAGATTAACAAATTATTTAACCGGATCATTTCGAAATATAAACTCGCGCATTCCGCACCAGCAACATCGCACTGACATATCTTCTATTCCCGCGCATATTTCACAAATTTGCTGCGCAAAGAGTCGGACGTGAACTTGTACGTTTTCAATTCCTTCACACGTCTCGTTCTGTCGCGTTTCGAAATCGTAAAACACGAATGCGACGCGATCTTTTTTGTATTTATAATTTGCTCTACCTTCGGACTCATTCTCGCCCCGCGTGTAGTTTCTTCCTGTACCGCCGTACCACTCGTACCTTCCCCTGGATTCTCAGTAACGACTTTACATCGAAGAGGGCATATGAAGCAAAAATGATTTGAAAGCCGCAGCGATTGGCAAGTTTTATAATACGCTGTCTCGCATTCGTGCCTCGATTTTGACTTTACGAATCGCCCGCAATTGTTACAAATTTTTACTGTTTCGCAAATGCTTGCAGGAGATTGCTCGTCGTAGGATCTTTCGCGATGACGTTCGAAATATGAAGTACCATAAAACGTACGATTACAAGTTTCGCACCTAATTAGGTTCGCGTCGGGGGATTCGCACGACGGAATGACGTAACAGCATGGGCATTTTTTCGTGCAGCGGTAACCTCTATCTTTACGATAGTCTATGTTACACGCGATATTCCCCGCGAGAGTCAGCAGCTTTTATATTCAATATCAGATTGTAATGATGCCTATGTTCGTAATATATTATATTTAATTTAATAGAGGGCTCACGCCCTAGAGAGGCAAGTAACGCGCAACTGTCAAATAACGGATTCTCGCCGCATCCGAAAGTGCTAAAATTGTACACCATTATAGTAATATTTTCGCCAGTGAGGTACTGTTGAAAACATTCGATTTCGCGTCCCTCCTCGGGAATTGTGACTCCAGCGTTAGTTTTCTCATTAATTCAGATTGTAACAAGGAACTCTGTCGTCTTATACAATTCCATTTTTCATAGAACTCATCCATACGTAGATTTCCACGTTCGCGATGCACTCGCGCCACTACAAGGGAACGCGGAAAACACAAATTATCCGAATTATTTAATTGCAAAATTGAATGTTTTGTTACGTCTTCGCGCGTTAAACGATTTGACTTGCGCCCACGGCAGGTGCCGCGACGATGAAAACACGTACATCGAAATTTTTCCGCAATATCGATTCCGCCAGCACTTTGAGCTACAAGTCTTCATATATCCTCAGAAGTTAAATCGCGTACCGGACGAAGCGATAGTCCTGCCGGACCATGCGCTAGATTCGCCAAATCGAACGATATTCCTAGGTAATCGCTCGGTTCGCATACTCGTAGATTTCGCAGGACGCGTTTTCCAATCAGCGAACGATATTCGCGCCTTCGGCGTATCGCGAAACTTGTCTCTCTTCCGAGAATACCGAAATTTCTGAAACGTCGCGAGTTTTCCGCTCGTAACTAAGAAAATTAAATCGATCGCCAACCTCATGTCGATGATGTTGCTGCTGATGGCGATGATAACACTGTTG